CGTTGGACCAGAACTCACTTTAATATACTTTGGCCTAGCTCACATCTTGCACTTAACATCATTCCGTCTCATGTAGGTCACGAATATCCTTAATCTCTGAGTGAGAGTGTCTTGGCATTGATAGGAACCTTCGTCGAGGGGTTAGCGCTGTATGAAGCGTGAGCTAGATGATATCGCTACCAAACGATGCGCACAATCACCGTCCCAGTGTAAACGGACACCGATGTTTTGACACTAGTTACTCGCAGTGCATCAACTTTGCCCGGCAAGATTATTCGACATTATTAATTCAACATTATGCACGATCATTATTGGCCGTGGATCAACTTTATTCGGCTAAGCAACATAATTTGTCAACTTTATGCATTGTCAAACTTTATGCAGTAACATTGGCCATAGTATTCGGCAACTTTATTCGCCTACCACATTATTTGGCAAAACAATTGCCTACTGGGACATCAGTCAATTTTCCGCTTTCCAATTGGGGCAAATCAGTGATCATCATCTCAGCACCTTTGATATGCATGCATACTCGGCCAACTTGGTATATAAACATTACAACGACGTTTACTTGAGTTACAAACTCCCACTCCTTTTCACACAGCTTGAAGCAAGCGCCCGTTTTGGGACAATACATCAACACTTGGGTCGGCAGTTTGCATATTTTTGCGCGCCGTCATTTTACCAAAGTCGAATTTCCCTGCAACATAGGGCATTGGGAATCTATATTCCTTCCAACTAACACCTGTCATTCGAAAGCAATGGTGCATGTCTACCTTGGACTAAACGCAAATCGAGCAACTCGGCAATTAAATCGTTGCCCAATATCTACTTGGCAATTCCATACAAGCGGAGCAATATTATTGGTGATTAACACGTCCACCTTATTCGGTACAGGATACATTATTCAAAGTCCTTGCCATGTTGGCACTTGGTTACCACTTAAAATCAGCAATGTCTCTGTTAAAGTCTCTGAGTATAGTGTAATCTTCGCACTCGGCACGGAGCGCCATCAGCAAAGGCCTATACCTACGCCTGGAGGTTAGAATACCGTGGCCTATACCTACGCCCGAAGGTTAGAATACTGCGGCCTACACCTACGCCTGGAGGTTAGAATACCGCGGCCTACAACTATGCCTGGAGGTTAGAATACCGCAGCCTACACCCTTACCCGGGGGTTATAATACCGCAGATCTACACCCTCACCCGGGGGTAATAATACCGAAGTCCAATTTTTGGCTAATATATCTACCTTATTTAATCTGTCTTATTTGGTTCAGGCAATCATTTCCGTGCTCGGCCTATA